GGTCGGGTGCAGCCAGACAGGCGGCATTGGCGGCCCGCGCCACACAAGTAGGGCTGCGCGCATGATTTCATGGCCGCTGGAGATGAGTATGCGAAATAACTATTTGGAATGTCAGACCCCTAATAAACCTCTCCCGGTGAACGCCTCCTCCTCTTTCGATATTATTAATACTTTTATTGATGCTTTCTATGTGCTTCGTGCACAAACTTCAAAAAACGACTGTCAGCGTAAGAAATACCAAAAAAGTTAACCCGGCATCATTCCAATCCTGCAGACTGCCATTTCTCCTATTTCTTTTTCAAAGTTTGCTGCCTGATTAGAACAAATATGTGTATGCCTATGCGCTGCTTTTGAAGCGTTACATAACAAAGGAGGTGAGTAAATTGCTAGGGCATCACAACAAGGCAAAAAAGAAAGAGAATTCAATAAAATAAAATAACCCAATTATTCATCAAAGCCTCAGGGATAAAGTTTTGGAGGTCAGTTAAGTGTGCGTGCAGTGGAAGCTACATGGCAGCAATTTTGTATGCTGTGAAATGCAGGCGTATATTTAAAAGCAATTTCATGAACGTCCTACCTTGTATAAGTCATCTTAAGTCAGGAAAATCGTGGACTCATGTAGGTTTAATAAATAGTTACGCATATAATCTCTGATCCACTATCGAATGCCCCAGGATAGACAGTAAAAGATAAATGGTATCGGAAAAAACGTGCTGTCCCATTAGTAGGCCCTAGTGATTACACAACCAAAATCTACTATTTGTTGCATTCATCGTAAATATTTTCACTTGGTTCGACAACGGCCTGGTCGTCCGCATATGAATTAGCACTTGCCACACTTTCACCGCCGCTGTTGATGATTGACGTAACGATAACTCCGCAGCTCGGTTTACCGGTGTAGTCATTGAAAACAGTGCTCATTCGGGCACTCTTCAAGTAACAACTCTGCCGTCTTAGTAATTATCACTTACGGAGAGGTCGCGTTTCTCAACGGACTCTGAACAGGAGAACCGCAATTTAATCACCCCGTGACTTAAGCGGTTGTCAGATCATGCATGAATTTCAGTTCCACTTCCAGACTTGATGAGATGTGACAATCGCTTAAGTTGCGATTCTCTGGCCCGTATTCCGTCAGCAAACGCAATGACACCTTCCTATGTACCAGTCACTTGTGGAGCACCAGAATGAACACTGTTTTCAGTGACTATACTGGCCAATCAAACCGCGGAGTTACCATTATGGTAATTACCAACAGCCGTGGCAAAATCGCGGCAAGTAGCAAGCCAGGTGCCGCTGACCAAGTCACTATTACACCAATTGAAAGCAACTGAGATGAATGGAGCAAGTGCCGCATTCGGTAGATTTTGTCTAAGTAGCCATTACTGAGTATGCAGAGGGCAATCCTTTTGGCTCCAACACCGTTTTCTGTCGCTGTCGGTCATGATGGGTTCTAGAGTGAATCCGAGGCGAAGGGTGTCAACGTGTCCCTACGAAGGAGCTCCCTCCTTTTCACCTGCTTCCTGCATCGCGTTTTTTGCTCGTGTCCCGCCTGCACGAAATTGAGATGCAATACTTGTAGACTCTTTTATTTGTCTTATGATTGTTAGCGAGTGCAGATTTATGGTGTGTTTTGACGCTGCACAATAGTTTTTTACATTGGATACTGACAAATAGGCATTTAGGGAGTGTCTACAATTGTCATACCTTTCTCGCCTGCCGTGATGCCCAGTCGACATAGGGCGCTGCTGAAGGAATCAGCATGTACGCCGGAGGCCTTCAACGCCTGGAAG